GACTATCAGTGATTATACAAAACCCTCTTCTCTTCTCGCTATATTTATTATTGTTTCTCTGCAAGCAACGTGGGGATGTCGCTTTCCACCCGTCTGGTCTTCCCGCCGGTGACCGCTGTGGCGTAGCGCACTCTCGTGCTTAGTGTTCCTTCCCTCCACATTTAGTGCATATTTCCCCTTTCCGTCTCTGTACTCCGTTGCGTAGTGGGCAGACCCTGCCGAAGTGCCCCTTTCCAGTGCACTCGTAGCAGCGGCTAACCCCTCCTTCGTCAGGTGGGCCTCCCTTTCCGATCGCAGACGCGGTTCTCCCGAACGTAATCAGCTCAGCCCCTGGGCGTCGCTTCCCACGCGCCGTAAACTCCTTCACACTTCTATTCCTCTTTTCGCGCCATGCCTCTAGCGGTATTGCCCAGTTGCGTAAAGCCGTTGCAGCCTCTTGCCAGTCAAGGAACTTCCTGGTTCCCTTGCATGAGATTCTCTCTCCTATTTCCGGTGGTAGCAGTGTAAAGAACCACGTTATTAGCTCCTCTTCAGGTACGCGTTCCCCTTGAGCCACCACTTCGGTGTTATGAATGCACAGGGAAGGGGCACTTTGGTAGGGACTGCCCCCTCCGCAACGGTGTACCGCGGCGCATAGGAGAGCTATGCAACAAATGCGGCGGGAAGGAACACTACGCACGGGAGTGCGTCGCGCCAACGCGGGCTCCGGCCGGGAGACAGGATGGGCGGAATACGGGAACGGCCCGTGCGGACGTGGTCACCGGGAATAAACGGTCAAACTGACAGGCCTAGGCGAGAAGGGAGACACACGCACTAGGCCGAATCGGCAAGTAGATGGCACGACGGGACCTCATGCCATCTCTGCCCCAGTCTCCCCTAACCCGGGACAGGAAGAGACGGGCGAAGGGCTGAGGAGGAGGCTAGACGGCGGAAACGGCGAGAACGAACGAGTGTGCAACGAAGCGCATCCATGGAGGCGCATAAGGTTGGCGGACAGGAAGACCGAATCGCTTCAGCGAAGACACGTGATGGTTATTGGAGATCGGACTGCAACGGATAACGAACGCAACGAGAACGAGAGCGAACGAGCACCACAGAACGAAACGGATGCGGAGCGAAGATACTTGCTGGCAGAGGGAGATCGAACAGATACGGGCAACGAACGCAACGAGAACGAGAGCAGGCAACCGCCACAGGACGAAACGGGTTCGGAGGTCCAAGACGAGAAGGGTGCGGAGGATGGACGAGGGGAGCTCACGCTAGGACCCGACACGGAGCCTGAAAAAGGGGCAAAATCGGGAAACTCGAATAACCAAAGGGAAGAGGAGAACAACGAAGGAGAACGGATATTACCTGAATGGCTCTGGTGGAGAGGAGATAGCCCACCAGAACTAATGCACGAGAATTTGGGTCCTCTCTGTGCAATCGGAGAAGCGGCAGTACTCGAGCTCGAGATCACAGGCCGAAGGTACGAGGGACTACTCGACACTGGAGCAACCCGGAGCTTCATCTGCCCGGCGGTGGTGGAAGAGCTGGGGCTAAAGGTGCGGGCCTTGAAGGAACCCTTTTCATTCACGATAGCGAACGGCGCTAGTATACATATCGATAAGCAAGTACCGAGACTGACCATGTTATGTGGAGGAGAATGCTTTACTGGGGACTTCTTAATCGGCCCCATACCGTTCCCTATCATCCTGGGAATAGATTGGTTAGTGAACTACGACGTAGCCTGGTACTTTCAATCGGACAAGATTAGGACATACGTAAACGGCCGATGGTTTAACCTACCAGTTCTCAGGAGGGGAAGGTATGCAACCCCCCAAAGGGAAGCGAAGAACACGGACCAGACGAAGACCGCGGCGGATCGAGCCTATGAGGAATTAGCTGCTCAGGTAGCCAAGATGTCGGTCGAAGAGGCCGCAGCACTACTACGCCCTCCACCTAAACGATACAAATCGAGGCGCAAAGCAGGAGTGCGGGTGAAAATCAGGGATATTCTTCAGAAGGCGAGGGAGGACACGGCAAACCTGAAGAGAGCGCTCGAGGGATTACATTTCGTCGTCGCGTTACCGGCTACGGAACCGGAGCGGCTCGTGCACGTACCAACGGAACGCCAAGTGCCTCTGTTGTATGCACTAGTGGAACACGCTAAATCCCATCCGGACCGGCGGAATCAATCGGCGAACGAACTCGTGGAGCCCGCTGACAAGACATCGGCTGACGATGAGGAATCCCCTTGGCCCAGGGCCCAGTTGACGTTCTCTGAATTTGACGCATGGGCAGACGGTCCGGAGGCAACCAAGGTGCCGGACCCGATCCTGAAAGTATTAAAGCAGCACAGACAACTATTCCCCGACAGTCTGCCGGACGGATTACCTCCTAAGCGGCCCCACGATCACCGCATTCTCCTTGTACCCGGCAAACTTCCAACACGTGCGCCGATCTACACAATGCCACCTGACCAGATAGCACAACACACCAGGGAGATAGCTCGCCTAACGGCTAAAGGGTGGATTGGACCTACCTATTCACCCATCTGTGCTCCCACCATCATGGTGTACAAAAGGGATGACGGCAGTGCGGAGCGCAAGATGCGCCTGGTGGTGAACTACCAGGCACTCAACGCGCTGACCATCGCACCGGAGTTCCCTATGCCCAGCGTCCAAACGGTACTCGAGATGCTGGGCGGGGCTACTGTCCTCTCAACGCTCGATCTAGAAGCGGGCTTTCATCAGATCCGCATGGCCCGCGAGGGCAGGTGGAAGACCGCCTTCCGTTCTGTACAGGGCCTCTTTGAGTATAAGGTGATGCCGTTTGGTCTCAAGGGCGCGCCAGCAACCTTCCAAGCAAACATCAACGCATACTTACAGCCACTACTAGGCAATCGGGTTATCGCATATCTCGATGACGTCTTAATATACAGCGCGACCTTAGCGTCGCACACCCAACTTCTGGAACAGGTTTTGGGGATTTTCCTGAACCATCAATTTTACCCGAAGCTTGTTAAGCGCCGATTTGGCCAGCGAGAACTAACGTAGCTGGGATACCAGTTTGGCGCAGACGGTATTAAACCAGCAGCTGACAAAGTAGCTTCAATTAACACGTGGCCAGAGGTCCTACTCAACGAAACGCAAGTCAGACAATTCCTCGGCACGGTCAACTACTGCCGCATGTTCATGGGTCCTACCTTCGCTGAGGTCGCCAAGCCGTTAGTCGACTTAACACGTAAGAACTCGACCTTCTCCTGGACGGAAAACCACACCGCAGCTGTACGGCAACTTAAGCGACTCCTCTCCGAGTACACAATACTGCAGATCCCGGACCCTAACAAACCGTACACGCTATATACAGACGCATCAGGATATGCTATCGGGGCAGTCTTAGAACAAGAGGAAAAACCCGTGGGATTTCTTAGCCAAGTCATGACCGCCACACAACAGCGGTATTCCATCTACGATCAGGAGCCGCTCGCGCTCATCACGGCTTTGGACAAGTGGCGACACCTTCTCCGGGGGGCCCGAGTCACGGCCTACACGAACCACCAGGCCCTGACATACCTGCAGCAAATCAACGCACACAAACACCTACGCGGGCGCACTGCACGGTGGCTGGACTTCCTAGCGGAATTCCCACTCCTTACCATCACCTACCTCCGCGGGGCCCATCACAAAGTCGCGGACGCCATGTCTAGACACATTCAGCACCAGCCAGCAGCCTCGACAACGACTCATCCACCCCTAGCTTCCCTTACCCGACATCGACCGGCACCCACGCCTGCACCCCCCCGTGCATATTCCACTCGCTCCGTAAACGCACCTAGCACCGACTTCCGCGTAATTGTCGGGCTTCGCTCTCAACGTGCGGGCTCCATGCAGACTTCATCGACCTCTACAGACCCGCTCCCCAAGCCTCCAGTTGCGCCACAGGTAGAGCTGGACGCACGCTCATCTCAGACCCCCCTTGTGTCCAGCGATCCTCCTTCGTCCCCCTCGTCCACGGCCTGCTCCTCCCTCCCGGCGTGCTCGGAGCAGCCTACCGCCACTGCGGCCACAGAGCCGCTTCCGGAATCGCCCTCAGTGTCGGAATACCTGACGCCGCAACGCTGGGAAGAGGGTTACCAGCGCTGCCCCATCTTCCGCGACATTGTCCTTACGGCGGACCGCCAGGATGCAGTGGAGTTTCTTCACCAACTCCAAGGCCGCCGATATCGTTTCAAATTTTGGAGACCCTATCTATACGTTTGCATACATGGACTCTGGCGCATATGTCCCCCTACCTTACCGGAATTTCTTTCGCATCTTCTTTATCGTCATCACGACCACGTTACGGCGGGACACCGTGGAGAGCGCAAGACGTTCTTGTCCCTCAGTAAGTTCTACTACTGGGCGGGTATGCGGGCTTACACTGCTGCCTATGTCGAGTCTTGTGTACAGTGTAGGGCGTCGAAGGCGATTTCCCAACGGCAAGCGGCTCTTCTCCAGCCCGCCCTCGTTCCCTCCAGACGCTGGAGCCACGTCAGCTTAGACTTTATAACGGATTTACCCCTTACTCCTCGAGGCCACGACAGCATCCTCGTCCTCGTTGATTCCCTAAGCAAGATGGCCCACTTTATTCCTACAAAAAAGACAGCCACAACAGCAGACACAATCGAATTGCTTGCAGATCGGTTGATTCGCTACTACGGCTTCCCGGATGTCCTAATATCTGATCGGGACCGTCGTTTCCAGTCACTACTGTGGCAACAGTTGTGCCAACGCTTCCACATCAAGCGTGCGATGTCCTCACCTTATCACCCGCAGTCGGACGGGCACACCGAGAGGGTCAACCGCACTCTGGAGCAAATGCTCTGCACCTATATTCAAACTGACGAGAGGGAGTGGGAAAGGCTCTTACCGGCACTGGAGCTCGCCTACAACACCACTAGCCACTCGTCGACGGAGCTCAGTCCATTTGAAATAATGATCGGTCAAAATCCGATCACGACAGCGGACTTGGACCTCGTGGGCAGCCTTGCTCCAACACTCACCCCGCCTATGACGAAGATCTTCCAGCAGCTGTGTGACAGGGCCCAAGGCCATATCCAGAAAGCTAAATGGCAGCAGAAACATTACTCTGATGCCCACCGCCGCAATGTCCACTATAACCCTGGCGACAAGATTTGGATCAGCAGCCGCCATCTTCCTCCCCTTAATCAGTGCCCCCATTTGGAGCCCCGTTTCCGTGGACCTTTCCCTGTTCTGGAACGCACTGGTACGGTGGCTTATCGTATTGCGCTCTCTCCCAGTTATTCCTGTCACAATGTACACACAAAAAACAAAAACATATCAACATGAATGAATGCGCCGTGGTAAACAAAAAATACATATTATATATGTTGGGGATATA